GCGTTGATAGGAAATATATATATATATATATCTGTGTGTGTGTGTGAGAAGTTGGAAATCTGTGCTGTGTTAGTGCAATGATGAAGACTTTTAAGATGTTTTAATAAAATAATTATTTTAATGTAAAAATCTGGTTATTGTAAAAAAAATGATTGCTAAGCGAAAATGGGGGTTGGTGAGAACAGCGAAAAGAAACTTGAAATTTAACAATTTTTTATTTTGATATAGCACTCTGGTTATACTCGAAACAATGATTGTGAAGTAATAATTGTTTCACGATTGTAATTCAATAAGCGAAGCACACAAGGGTTGGCGTTCCGTAGTTAGACATAAATACATAATTTTAAATTAATTTGTAATATGTTTTGCATTAAGCAATAAACTATTTAAAATAAATTTTTTTTTTTTAAATATTTATTTGTTTCACGTATCCTTTTAAAAACGTATTTATTACTTATAAAATTTGACTTCAGATTGACTTAGGCGCTCTAAAAACTGTTTTAAACACCCTTATTTAAAAAACCCTTATTTATAAAACTCCTTCATTGAGAAAGAAAATTACTCTTTCTTTTTCATCTTTTAGTTCTTTTTCTAAAGGCACAAATTAAAAACATTAAAAACACTAAAAAAAAAAACTGGTTATGTATCATCTGTTTCATTCCAATCGAAAGTGTTCTGGAATAAATTGATCGATGCCACCAGTGCTTTCGAAACTTTATTACTAAGTCGGGAGAAAATAACACCTAAAAAGACAAAAAACGGTGTCACACTTTCCAGCGTGACGGAATGTTACTGCGCATGCGTTTGTGCCGAAAGGGAGTTTACCTGTCCTTATGTAGGCCAACTTGTTTCGGTGCTAGTTTTGGTTCTTTTCTTTCTTTCTTTTTATTTTTTAATTTCATTGCAAGTAAAATTTCAAGAAGGGAAAATAAAAAAAATAAAGAATGAATGAATTAAAAAAGAAAGAAAAGGAGTAGGAGAAAATGGAGATACCCGAAGAGTGGTTTAGAGTAAAATTCGGCGTCTTAGAAGACGCATGTGTTTGTGTGATTGCTCCAGTTGTGTTTCACTTGCGATACGTTCCAGTGGCTCTTTAACGGATTAGTATGTGTTCGATACGGAACATAGCCCTGCAGGTAGGCCATAGCCCGGTGGGCAATGTTTTAACCTTCCCTCAATTTCTGTTGTTTATAAACTTTTTAAGTCGGATGATAGTTTCTTTTTATTTTATACATGAATTACATCAAAAACATAAATCATTTCTGCTTTGTTAGTTAGCAATTTAAGTTATTTAAGTCTTACTTTAATAAAATATTTTCCAATGCAATAATTTCTTTTTTAATTATTTAATGTTTTGCTTTTACAAAGTATATTTCAAAGAGTGTAGTTTGAAAACTTGAAAAAAAAAAATCCGCAATTATTAAAAAAATATATTTTATTGGAAAGTGTTGAAAGAATATGCTCCATTATCAAAATACCACTCATCAGAGAATATTCAAAGAAAATTAACAATCGAAAAATTTCTTTCATTATAGAATACTGAAAAAAATAAATAAAAATATCTTCATTATAGAACATGTGAAAATTATTTTGAATTATAAAAAGATTTCACTTTATAGAATATTAGAAAATCAAATTCATTTATAAAAGTATATTTCCTTTAAAGATAATGAAAAATTATGTTTGGTTATAAGAATACTTCTCTTTAGAGAATACTGGAGAAAAAAAATTATAAATGCAAGCATTTTTCTGTTCAAATCATGTTCATTTCCCAAAATATTTTTTATTACATTTTAGTAGAAACTCATCTTTCGGTGAAATCAGAATGGCTATTGAGAATCCTGAAAGCTTTTTTGGTTTTTCCCGTTTGTGAAAAAATTTCCAAAATAAATTTATAGATGAGGTTTCATGTAAAATCGGTATTTATATCTTAAACGTACTTTTTTCTCAATTTTTTTTTGCGTTGATAGGAAAAGCAGAAAAGCAGTTTTCTTTTTAGCTTTCTTAGAAACAGTTTCGAGCCCTTTCTGCATTAAACGATTTAAATCTGAAACTTACGTTTGAAAATATTAGTAAACTATATTTATAGAAATATGATTCATTAGAGAATATTAAACAATTATTTATTTATAAAAATAACTTTCACTAGAGGATTTTTAAAACATCAAGTTTGATAGGCATGAATTTGTGAATAGAAAATTAATGAATTCAGTGGAGATACAAGCAAGAGGAATAGGCAGCTTAAACCTTTCCGGGATATGCGTCTTTTTCATACGGGGAAGCTAACAGCCTTCTATTTTTGCATAAAAATCGTATAAATTAATTAAAAAAATTATTTTAAAGATCTGTTTATGAGCTCTCGTTGAGTAGCTTTTAAAGTTGACGATAAAACTTTCTATAGGTTTTATAAACTTATTACTCAATAGAGGGAAGCTATGGACTGTACACAAGTGATCTTCGCTTAATATTTTTCAAGAGCAGCACATAAATTTGGTTCGTCGCGATACAACAAGTGAATAAAGGAAGAGTCGGAATGATTTTATGAATTTGTTGGTTATATCCTTTAAATAATGTAAAAAAATTCGAAAATATCACCCAATTAATAGTAGTAACTTGATTAATAAAGAAAAATCGCATTTTTATATTTCTCTATTTAAAAAATTATTGTAATTTTAATTAACGATGCATTCGATTTGTCATTAAAGTAGCAAATGCTGTTTGTAACGGTCAGAAGTTGAGTTGTCTCCTTGACATAAAAAAGCAGTTGAAATTTAAACTCCTTAAAGTTATTCAAAAAGGGATCGGTATTATTATTAAAGATACATTTGCGATAAAATGACAAATGAAACTTACCTTTTTCTTTATTAATTTTTTAAAATCGTTGTTGAAGAGCTAACCCAATTTTTGGGTTTAGGACTACTAATATTAAACTCCGCAGCCTTGTGATTCTGAACCTAATCCAGAAGACAATGGAACTCCTGGATATTGGGAGAAATTTGCCTTCATGGAGGAATTTTTGATGGAACTAACCATCATTTGCGTTAAATGCAGAGGAAAACCACGAAAACCTCCAACGGTTAGCCTAATGGCAAGGGCACTCTAACCCATGATCCGTCTACCATTGAGGATATTTCACGTCAGCACTGTGGTCGGTGCAAGCTGGATATGGATTCGTCTACCAGCCATTGAAGGAATTCGAACTCGGTTCACCTCATTGGAAGGCGAACGCTCTATCCGTGAGCCATCAAAGGTTCAATAAAAACTTCTTAAAATAATTGAAAAGTGGTCGGAATTTTGAGTGGCGATAAAATAAAAAAATTGTGGGTTAGAAGATGAGTGAAATTACCAACAGGTAGAAGCTCATGTATTCATGTATTAAGCATATGTTGTTATAACTCTGTCCATCGCTATTTTAAATTTTAGCGAAATGTGAATTCAGGATAACTTTAACTCAACGATTCATTGCAGAAAAAATTGCTTTAAAATACCAAAATTCAAACACATTTTAACAGGATAACTTCCCCACTCCACAATCATGCTGCAATTTGTTTGCATTTAGATAGTTAAAAAAACAATTTCAGCATTTGAAACTATTTATTTATTTAATTTTTTTGCTTACTCACTCCCCCCCCCCCCTAATTTTAAATGTGGGTGAAAGAGAGGTTGAAATAAAAAGTTTCTCCCGCGGTATCTCTAAAAATTTTAGAAAAAGAGGAAAGAATAATCGAAGCTGGTTAATAGTTTAATTTGTACATAACAAAGACTTTATATTAAAGAAAGGCATTGAAAATGTTAATTTTAGATTATTATTCCTTCATTTTATTTTCCAGTTTCCTGAAATATTCTATTTATATAAAAAAGTTCCATTCACAATTTCACACAAATTCTACTTTTGTAAAACTATCCTATTTTGACACATTGATTATAATGCTTTTAAAATAACTTAGATTTCTTGCTTCGAATTTATTTTAATTTAAAATGAATATAGTTGGAATTTTGATTTTCTTTAATTTATAAGTAGTTCCATTATTGTGTTAAAATAAAAATAGTACAAAATGACTGTGAAATAATTAAAAAAAGGCTATTTTATAAAATCTTTCGCAGGATAACAATTGGATACCACGCGAGCTTTTATTTAGTCCGCTGACCAGTCAATTCCACTTCGAAAATTTTTAAACATTTTTACGAAGGGTCTTCGATCTTGCTGCCTTCGCTTTCAAGCCCAACAACTGCTTAGAAACCGTTTTTGTTTCTTTAAGCAAATTGTTAAATAAAAAAAAAAAACTTATTCATTTAAAAGACTCCGAAATAGTTTTTTTTTATTAATATAGAATTGGTTTCGATATTCTGATTCGATTGGGATTAAATTTAATAATTTTGCTTACTTACTGTTAAACTTCATCCAGAAACTTGTTTTTAAAATTCTTATTTTAAAGCTACATATTTTTCTCAAAAGATATTATTTAGAAATAGGGAAAAGGACAATTATTACTATTGCTTCGAAATTTTAAATAGTTATTTTGTACTAGGGAGCCCTCATCAATCCCGATGATTGAATAATTGCTGTTTCTTGACATAAAACAGTTCAAATTGTTCAACTAAAAATATGTATTAAAAAGAGCATTTGTGCCTCCACGTCCAAACATTTTCCTTATGATACTATTAAGATGAACATAAATCATTTTTTTAAGTAATAATTTTTTTAAATAACATTTAAAATTAAAAGTATATTGTTATGACAAACTTGGAGAGTTCACAACAGAAATTTAATATATTTACTAACCAAACGGACGGATATATTTTATATACAATTTTTTGCCTTTATCACTTTGTGCATGAAATTGAAAGTAAAGTTCTAAATCATTTAACAAATCTCATTAACAATAACTCATAATTTTTTCTCCTTTGGGCAGTATATTTTTTAAGCAAATCAACTGATTAATGTGAATCCCTTCTTCAATGTTGGCAAGTTCGTACCACGTCAGCAAGTCACCATCGAAGGGAATTTAATTTTAGACTATGTCAACCTTCATCTAATAAAAAGGTACCTCAAGATGGAATCAATTTAACAAGTCTTATTTACTAGTGATTTGGCATTCAATATTTGTAGTGGTAGTTACGCCACAATTGTAATTTGTACCATAAAATAACAATTGTGAAACGGTTAAGAAGATCAGAAGCCGATTTTAATAACTTTATCTTAAAATGTGGCATAGAATTTCGTTATTCTAATTATAATAATAATAAAAACAATTCTCCTAAAGTCTGAATTTAGAAATCAAAGAAAATCGAAAACGTAATAACAGTGCAGGTTAGCTTTAAATTAGGGAATATTTATAGCAAAACAATAACTTCGACTTATATCAATTTTATTCTGATGACAACCAAACTAATAATAAAATTAATGTGAGAAAACGAGATCCTACCATGTGATTTTCCAGCCAATAAAAATGTATTGACAACAATGGAAAACTGCGACACCTTCATTAGATTTTTATCTATAGTAAGATTCATTATTTAAATTGACACACGTTGACTGAACACAGTTTTGCATAAAATTTGTTATAAAAAGTAATTAAGAAGGAAACATGACTTATATATTGCGTAATAATTGTAAATTGGTGACTAAATCTCATTATCATTAAATGTTGCATTAAAAGGTCATTCTACCCGATTACTTTATAACAAATAAACTGCACATTCATTTTTAAGCCTATGCTTTTTAAAATATCTCTGTGATCAAAACAGAAAAGAATAAAGATACCTTCTAAGAAACAGTTTCAGATAAACAGTTTAGCTAACAACTCTACCCTTTCTATAAGAAAAATAAATCGAAATTTTGCTGTTAAATACCGTAGTAACTTCATTAATTTTAAACTGATTACATCCAAAAACATTCTGGATAATCTTTGTTGATTAAAGATACTACCTTATGGTATTTTTTGGCAAATAAGAATGCACCAACAACAAAGAGAAGCAGTTTTATACTATTTATAAAGGGAATTGCACATTTAAAATTGAGGTACTAAGAAGTTAGAAAAAAAAATTTAATTGTTAATTGTTTAATTTTTTTTTTCTTCATGAAATTCTAGAATGAAAATATTTCAAAATTATACATGAACCTCCATTTCCTAAG